AGAAAGAAAGAAAGAAAGAAAGAAAGAAAGAAAGAAAGAAAGAAAGAAAGAAAGAAAGAAGGAAGGAAAATAGGAAGGAGGGAGGGGAAAGAAAGAGAGAGAGAGAAAGAAGAAAGAAAAGGAAAGAAAAAGAAAGAAAGAAGAAAGAAAGAAAGAAAGAAAGAGGGAGGAAGGAAGGAAGGAGAGGCAGGGAGAGAGGGAGGGAGGGAGGGAGGAAGGAAGGAAAGAAGAAGGACGGAAGGAAGGAAGGAAGGGAGGGAGGGAGGGAGGGAGGGAGGGAGGGACAGAGGGAGGGAGGAAAGGAGGAAGCGGGGAAGGTAGAAGGGAGGGAGGGAGAAAACCAGGTGACCAGGTATCCGGAAAGTCACAATTTTTCCTGAAACATCTAGGAAACAGCTATGTGTAAGTGATGGAAAATTAGAGGTTTTTTGCACACTCACATTACAACTTTCATTACCCTTTCTTCCTTAGAATTACAGAATCATAAAAACCGTAGGAGCCATCTGGAAGGAAAGAAGAGAATAGGAAAGAACAGAAGAGTACAATGTTCAACGAGGGTGGGAAAAGAATAACAATCCATATTTCAGGAATAGAAGCAGCTTCGGTGTAAGCAGTGTCTCGGCAGCCACTCCATGGAGGAACAGGACCCTCTCCCAACCTTGTCAGCCACTCCAGCTAAGCAGCTGCTGCACCAGGTGCGTTGCTGCTGTCTTGCTAAGAGTTCAAGAACATGGGCTCTGGAGTCACACGGCCTGCGTTCACATTCCAGCTCCATTCATAGCCTGCACGACCTGCAGCAAATGTCTTGATTTCTCTGCCTCAATTTCCCCATCTGTAAAATAGAAATAAACATAACATCAATCTCATAAAATTGTTGAGAAGATTAAATTACATAAAGCACAGAAAACATATATAATACTGAATGAAAGACAGTAAGCGTCCAGTAAACATAGGCTAGTATTGCATTTCTTTTCATGTCTACAGCAGCCCTGGGAAGTAATGAGCATCCTCTTCATTTACAGAAGAGGATACAGAGTCAAGGAGGCCACTTCACCTTCCTGGTTCACACCATTAATTCGAATTCCATATTAGTACCTGAGCCCCAGAACTACCTGGCTCTAAATTAATGCCCTTTCCCCTGTACCACACTGTTTCTCCACACTCTCAGGGTCCTCAATGAGAAAAATACTGACTTAACTTAGTGCAAATGGCCAATCAATCGCATTTGACTCAAGGCCAGGGCAGTGGTTCACTCCTGTAGTCCCAGCACTTGGGTCAGCGAATCCCTTTAACCCAGAAGTTCAAGACCAGCCTAGTCAACATGGTAAAACCCTGTCTCTACAAAATTTAGCCTGGCATAGTGGCATGTGCCTATAGAACCAGCTACTCAGGAGGCTGAGGTGGGAGGATTGCTTGAGCACAGGAGGTAGAGGCTGCAGTAAGCTTCATCATGGCACTGCACTCCAGCCTGGGCGACAGAGTGAGACCTTGTCTCAAAAAAATATTTTTTTAAATAGCATTTCAATGAACAGCTATCATTCTACATGTCTGAAAGAATGGATGCTCTTCCCAGAACATAAACTTAGTACTAGATGGTAACATTCCTGGACTATGTACAGTCAATCCTAAGCATTCAATGACTCCTTTAAAGACAGTTGTCTTTAAAATTTGTGTGTAATCCCACTAAAGTAGTAATCCTTAAATTTTATTGAGTCTTGCACCTCTTGGAGAATCAGATCAAAGCAAAGGACACTTTCCCCAGGAGTGAGAAATGCATGTATGCATACTCACAAAACATGTATACAATTTCAGTGAGTTCAGAGACTTGAGAAGTTCATGCAATCCAGGTGAGCAGTACTCCATTCTAATGAGCCTGGAGATCTGGTATGCTGTTCCATTTACAAGGATGCATTTTCTATGTGGCTATCATTACCCTGCTTGGTCTCTGCTTTGTTTCTTTTTGACCTTTTTCTCTTCTGTCCCGTTCTCTTTCCTTTTCCCTCTCTTACTCTTCCTTTCTCAACTCTCCACCCCCTCCTACCTTGGCAACCAGATGGAGCCACTATCGGAATCTCCTCTCCCTTCCCCTTCCTCCCCTCTGTATCCTTCCTGACCAGCCGATTCCGGAGAGGAATCCGATAACTTATCAATAAGCATAGGTTGCTCCATAGGAATTTTGGCCAGCCTAGGAAACGGTCTTTCTTTTTTTTTTTAGGAAACAGTCTTTCTTTGAAGGATAGAAGATCAGAACTTCTGGCTCCATTAAGAAGTCATTTCTCCTAACTCTCCGGTAAATGCAACCACTTTCCATTAAATATGTGCAGATTCACTATATCCTGTTTTCAAGGAAACAGATTCACTAAGTTAACAATTCTGGTATAGATATCTGTGAACTCATTTGTTCTTTTATATCTGTGACTTTTTCATAGTACTCATCAACTTGGTAGTTAAGCACTCAGAAAAAGATATATTGGACACATAAAGCTTTATATAAGCAACTCTTGCATTAAAATGTGTCTGTCTCTATTAGGTTTTTTTGTTTGCCTACAACGTGCAAGTGAATTTCATTTTTATCAGTTTTATTTTTTAAATAAGCTTTTGAAAACTGATAATGCCATCCTTTGGAATCCTTGGCCAGCTATTATAGTTATATACACAACTGCCTAGAGTTGCCTAATATGAAAATGCGGTTAATTATAAGAATGAAAAGCTTCAAACTGAAATGAAATGTACAATCATGAACTACAATATTGAAATGAAATCTTGTTTAAACAATTTGTCTTGGGCAGGCACAGTGGCTCATGCCTGTAATCCTAGCACTTGGGGAGGCTGAGGCATGCGGATCACAAGGTCAGGAGTTTGAGATGAGCCTGAGCAACATAGCGAAACGCCATCTCTACTAAAAATGAAAAAATTAGCTGGGCATGGTGGCATGTGCCTGTAGTCCCAGCTAATTAGGAGGCTGAGGTGAGAGAATGACTTAAACCTGGAAGGCAGAGATTGCAGTGAGCTGAGACTGCACCATTGCACCCCAACTTGAGTGACAGAGTGAGACTCTATCTCAAAAAAAAAAAAAATAGATTTGTCTTAGAGTTCGACTTTTGATGCATTTGATCTGGAAAGTCAACATTTTCATTTCTAAGCAGATCAAAATGTTTTGTCTAAACCCAAGAATTTTCTTTAAGGATGCTTTCAAAGGGAAGTGTCCTTTGTATTTTTTATATGAAAGTTTCTGCAAAAACCAACTAAGATATGATGGTCATGTTTTTAACAAGGTAAATTCACAACCATAAATGTGCCTTAGATTATTAATGGGATATTTTGTAAACTGTCAGGCATACAAAATTAAAGGAGAGAGACATAGGCTTTATATATGAGCATTACATATTTACTTCACAGTTTTAAAATATTTCACAGTAACTTCATCAGCATTTCCATTTACTATAATGATCATTTAAGATTCTGTTATGGTGAAGTCATTCACTGAATTGAAACACTTTTTTTTGTAATTTGGAAAGAAAAAAACTGTATAAAATGAATAGCATTGGCAAATGTTTCTAATCATTTCCTTAAAATACCAAACCACCAAACAATCTTTTTATTTACTACATTTTGCTTAAGTGCATAAATCAAAGGACAATAACAAGCCTAATGTCAAAGAAACTTTTTGACACTTCATACATTTGAGCAAGCTTAGCCGATAAACAGTTTAGATGAAGTTATGGTTTGAAATATGTTTCCCAAGAGGACTGTGGTTCATAAATTGCTATCAGGCTACCCCTGTCATTATTGATTTGAGAAGTACTCAAGGTACCCACAGCTATTAACTAAGGCTAGCATTACCTGACCTGCTTTTCAGAGAATGATATTTGGTTTTACAAAGACAACTAACCATCCATTCTATAAGAAACACGCAGTTTGCTTGTCATCAGGCACATAATATAGTGAGCTCTATTTGAAAATGTTGACCAACAATTAAAAGAGGAGGCAACATAATCTTAAACAGGCTTCCAACCATCTTCATAATCCTAAAAGGAATTAAATCAGTTGTTGTATAACAACTGTGCTGGGAAAAGCTAGAAGAATGAGAGCATTTTTTTAAATGCATCAAACAATAGAAATTTGCATCTCAGCGTTTTGCAATTATATGATTATTTATTATACCTGTGCATAATAAATATCTTAAATACTCTTTGCAGACACATGTTTTTGATGAGCTTACTAAAAATAAACCCACAGGCAAATCAAATACTAGTCCCATAATGTATGTGTGTTTATTTCTTTACCTGTCAGCAAAAACTAGCTCGCCATTGCTCCTCAGTGAGGGCTGAGCATGGAACAGTTTACTCTCCAACCCCTGCACCATGCCCTCTGCCTTGTGGATTTGGGAAATGTCAGGAAAGATCAGAGCAAGGATCCTGCTACTTTTTTATTCAGATCCTCTGGTCTTAACCTTCAAGGTAACATTTAAAAGTTAGTTATGACTTGATCATTCTGCATTAAGTTTGTCATCAGTGACCTGGCTTTACAAAAGCACAGAACCAAAGAGTTTCAGGAACAGACTTGATGAGTGTCATCAACTGCTAGAGATGTGATAAATTTATGAATTTTATCAGCCTTGCTCTTAAAAGTCCTGGTAAATTAAACAGTCAGAGGTGGAGGTTTCCTGCGAACCCTCTTAATCATCTGAGTGGCTGCATGACAGCTTGTTCCAGGAGAGCTACACAAATAAAAACTCGACCACATCACTTTCACACAAAGAAATCTGCCAAGCACAAAAGAAAATGTTTGGTGTTCTTATTTTAAAAACAAAACAAAACAAAAAACTATCTCCCTGGAACTTACAATTTGAAGCCCTTTGGATAACTCATTCAAGGAAATACCTCTTGAGCTACTGTCTCCTACACATTTGGTAAACTTTCTTAATGTTTCCATAGTAACTTTTGCTAATTTTGCACAACCATCTATTCAGCTATCTGAACAACAAAATGGGTTTTGCCAAAGCTAACTTAAATTCACCTCAGCTATGACCTTTGTCTAGCATGGCTTAGGAGTCAGAAGTCCTAAGAAGAACAAAGATCATCTTTCTCATTCATAATTTACAGTGCTGCATAGTACAGAACTTGTAGAAACAGCGCAGATGCTGGTGAGCAATTAACAGGCTCTCTAGATCACGATCAGCAGCTTTAATCGCCCACCCCTTGCACCCCAAAGTAAAAACAAAACTCGTTTGTTTTGAACTTGTTTTAAATATGAAATACCAGTCCTCTTCCATAGTTTGTTGCTATTGCAAATTAAAATAGATTCTGTACCGAATATCTTTTAATTTTTTTTTAGGTTATAAACCATGGAACTCCTCTTTCCTAAGGACCTTGGGAAACTTCCACAGAATTGGTTTACTCCTCTAAAAAGTATCTTAAAAAGCACAGTGCATTTTACTCTGATAAAACACTTCTGACACATAACTATTAACCTTTGAGCAAAGGGTCTCCATCTACTTTTTCTCTTGACCTCGTCTCCCACAATCCTTTTCGGTAGTTCTGGCCTCACTTCAAAGACGGCCCGCCAGGAGGGGCTGCCCTTATTCTATTTCCTTCTTCCTCCCCCACTTCTTCCCTTGTGCCTCTATTTTTTTTTTTCCCATTCACTTTCCTCTTACAACTTTCTTGCCTTTGGTAGAAAAATACCTAATCTCTCTATCTTCCCACAGCTTTACAGTTTGCCTGACCATGTACCTAGCTCTTTTCTTTCCTTTCTTGGAGGGAAGGTTCAGCAATGACCTCTGGGAGTTTAAAATGAGAAACTTGGTCTCGATTTTGGAGCTATCTCTATTTCAACTTGGAATGATAATATTTTGGGCAAATTAAAGAAAATTTAACCTCAAAATACTAGGTAAATTAGGTCATTATACCCAAAACACAGCTTCTTTGGATGAAAGAAAGAGCTGGAAAGCCGTCCCCCCACTTTGGAAGATAACAGGTCTACCGAAGCTACAGGATTTGTTCAGAGCCACAAGGCTTTTTGTGACAGAGGAAGAAACTCCCTCTTCAACCCAGCACTTTCCATTTTGACGCCAGGATTTCCCTGTGGTATGAAGAAACTTACTGTTTGCCTTGGGTGATAGTTGCTAGAGGAACAATGCTCCCTCCTGTCTTTTGGGGACTGGAAGGACATAGACGAGGGGGTTTCTGCCTTCCTAAATCCACTCAGAGGCAAGACACTTTGAATTATACTGTCTACTTTGACATCACAGTTCTTTCTGATCCTTTTCTCCTTCATCTTCAGAAAAGAAAAACATAATCAAACAACTACACAAACGTATTTGTGGCCTGAGTCCGTGAGTGAGGAAAAATAAAAATAAAAATAAATAAATAATAAGATTAAATATATTAAAAGATTAACTTTAGGATCGTGGAGTTTTCCATAGCTAATAGGAAGACTGAACTCCTGTAGTCCATGCTTTTTTCACTTTACATGTGAGGAAACTGGGCCTCAGGTTACTTGGTGTTAGGAAAGAAGCTGGCAGCAGAAGGCTAGGTTTATGACTCTCCTTATACTCACATATAATGGAGAATCTGAATACTACTCTACATTACTAGCAATACATTTAATTTACTGTGTTTGTGTGAATCTCACCTAATTACTTTTGTATTTCAAGGATCTATGACACATAAAAACCAGGACATCTCATAAATTTACGTTCAATCATTTAATTACTCCTAAAATCTTTTATAATTACAACTTTTCATGCAATGCCTCTAACGGTTTCACATATCAAGTATCAAATTTATCAGTCTTCTGGGCAATGTCCTAAACATGCAAAATTCTTTCTGTGCTGTATTTTATAGGAAAATAGCCACTTTGGCTTTGTAACTTGTTTTTTTCCTGTGCTAGCCATAAGCAATACTGATTTAGTTTTATTTTAAGAAATTTTCTGATAAATGGTTTCTGCTAACGGTTGAATTTTTAAGGAAAACAACTTGTGTTGTGCTCATGTTTGTTTTCACCTTGGAGAACAAAGTCCCACAAGTCAAAGTTTATAGTCAATCAAAAAAGGGCACATTACTTTCTCATTTTAATGGTAGAACAGGGACCTTTAACTTTCCTGGAGGCTTTGCTTTGGGGTTTACACAGAGCAGAACTTCCTTAATGCTAGTAATCAGACCCACAGGACATGTGTTAATTGTTCCCGACATGTAAAACTATCTACAGTATCTCAGCTAATAACACCATTGCAAACATTTCACTTTTGAAAAGCACAGTATTGAAACCAATTACATGCCTGTTGATTTACCTTTCCCCACCTTCCCAAAACATTAGAATTGCTCATTCCAATAATGTCAAAGTTCAAATTCCCAAATGGCAGCACAAATTCTGAAAATACAGAATCAAGTTACCGTATGTGCCATCACTGGTTGATTTAGAGATGACTGCCAAAAACAAATACATTTGGGCAAATTTTATTTATTAGATCCTACAGAAGCATATAATTGATACAGCTTCCGGTAGCTATTAGAATAGTTTCAAATAAAACATTATTTAAAGGTTACATCACCCTAAGACTGGTTCCTATCGGTTGCCTTGGTAATTTCAGGGTAAAATGATGCAAACGATAGAAATCTACTCTGATTATCATAAAGAAAAAAAAAGGTGGAAAGAGTATTGAATGGTGGTATATGGAGGCTTGCAGAAATGATGAGAGGGTGAGGGACCAGGCTGGGAAACTAGTTTGGAACCCAGGAGTCCCATAGAGCTGGGAGACAGGCAGGCTAAGCAGGACAGCCCAATTCCATTGCAACACCAGGCCCTCCATCGATCCACTACCTCCTTATTCCTTCCTCAAGATTCAAAGTCCAAAAAGACAGTGGCTGATGGCCCAAATCTAAATCACACGGACATCTCAGGGAAGAGAGAGGGAGGATCTGTCCTATAAATGTGATAGTTTCATTTGTTCTTTAAAAAACCTTTGAATTGGGAAAATAATTTTCTATTTGTGACAAAGTCCACTCTGAGCTTCAGAAATGAAATGCCTTGGATGGAAAACAAAGTAGATATGCCTCACACCAATGTCTTTGCTGCAATAAGGAAGGTCATAAAATAATTCCTGGGCTTTACTTTACTCCAATCATAGAGAGAGACATGGCTATAACAGGGAACAAAATAATCTATCTTGGGATCTTTGACCCTTAAGCGAGAAAACAAGATTTGGCCATTTCTCAACAAAAAAGGATACAGTATACTAAATTGAATTCCAGCATTTGAGCCTTTTCACTTTTTTACCTTAGGTGATTCCCATAAATTTATAGTTTCAATTGCTTTGTATAAGACATAAAATGTAAATGTATTATTTGCATATAAACATTTCACTAATAAGGATAAAATGCAATTTGACATAGAACTTTAGGCTTGGTGATATTTTTACCATCTGAGTATAATAAAATCAACTTTCTAAAGGTCAAAATATTATTTGTGCATCCATAGACATTACTTTTTTACTAAAAAGTGGAAATATCCTGTGTCTGCTGTGTTATAATCTATTTTTAAACACAATATTACATTTTGAAATATTATTATTCCAATAAATATTCATTTCCACCTCAAAGTGGTCAAACTAATACTTCTTTGCATATATGCTTACTGAAGTCCAGATACTGATTTTTTAATTTTTTAAAGTGTTTATACTAAAAATTTTGCTACATCTGAGCACATTTTCATCAGATTCTAATTCTTCACTGTGGAGAAATAACAGTGAGAACTTGTAATCAGGTTTTCTTCCTTACAGAATTGTTTTCCATAAAAGATAATAATAATTTAGAATGGCAATGTATATTAGTAGATGATAAAACATTCAATCATTAATAAATATTAACTAATTAAATGAATAATAATCACATATATGTAACATTAACCATGCCAAGCACCGTTCTCATCACTGTACATATGTTACTGCATTTAATTTACAACAGCCCAATGAACTAGGCATTGTTTTCAGGTCCATTTCATTGATGAGAAAGCCAAGTGGTAGAAAAGTAACTTGTCAAAGATTTCACAGCTAACATAAGAAGTCTGGTTTTAGACCCATGCCCTTCATAGTAAGTTATTATTTTCTGGCTACAGGTTTTCAAGAAAGGTAATGGAAGCTCATTATTAATGTAATTTAAAGACAAATTGTGTAATCATTGGGATCATTGAAATAATCTTCCACCAACACTGAAGTTGGGATCTAAACGTATTACAATTTCATCCCACATATTACAGTCCATAAATTTGGAATAAAGTACCCCTTTCGAAAAAAAGATATATTTAGAAAACTGTCCCTAATGTAATTATACATTTCTATACTACAACCAAGTATGCAGTTAATACTTCCATATTATATTGGTCAAGATATGACCTGTGAAAGTTTTGCAGAGGTTGCGCTATGCAACACAAAGTTACAGCTACGTAAATAGATAAGCATAATTCGATGCCATAGGGTGTCACATGTACTTTTAGTGGCCTGAAAGAATAAAGCAATTTAGAGAGACATCTAATTTACACCCAGGAAATAGCTTAATGAGCACAGGAATCCAATGCCTGAAGGTGCACTGAATTATATATCGAAGCGCCAGTGTAGGAGGTTTCAAATAGCCAATCTTTGTGACAAGAAATGAGTGTGTTTTGAGAAGTGGATTGAACAGCATGGAACAGCACAGCAATTACTAAAAGGGTTTCCAGACACACGAGAGTTATTGGACCCTGTTACAAACTCTAACTTCCACCATCAGTTACTGCATTCATTTGTGCCATTGAAGCCTACATCATTGCAACTGGAACAAAAATGATGTTTACATTTTACCAGTGTTTTACTTTCAATTAAACATCACGGCTGCTATTTACATAGTTGAATGGCATGGCATTTATACCATGCAATTTGATGTTAATTCTTTGTAAATATTTCTCCAGTAGGAGACCTAAGTTCAAACTAGTTGTGAAAATGTCACTAAAAATAAAATAAACTTTAATTTAATCTTGATCACAAATTATTGTTAAACGAAAGCTAAAAACCTGTAAAAATTTTAAATGGAAGTCCAAAGGAATTAACTGAGATGCTCATGTCCCAGGAAGTGACTTGCTTTTACACTGCCTGAGCCCTTGAGGACTTAACTCCACGGAGGGGAAGTTAAAGGCAGGAAAGAAAGAAGCTGCCAAGAGCACGGCTGAGAAGACGCAGGGAGGCTGCGGCTCTTCTCTGCACTGTCCACTCTCAAGCCTGTAGTTCTGTCCTGAAATAGGTCACAACTGGAAGGTTTCATGTTTCTTACGCATAGATGCTGTTCCCCGACAAGCTCCTCCGTCTGCGATCATTCATCATTCATCATAGCTGGAAATCTCCACCCTATCTGCATCTGAAATTCCCAGGGCCAAGCTGGTCAGCATCCAATACAGAATGGAAATAAAAATGGAAGTGGGTCTGTGTAGCTTTTCTTTGCTCTCTGTCCCAAAACATCCTCTTCCCTTGTGGTGTCTTCTTGTGTGTTTTCATACACAAGGAGAGAAGCCTAAGTAAATAAACAATGTTGTAGACTTACCTTTTTAAACATTTCCCTGTTGATTTCTTTCAGTTTTCTAGATTCTGGTGTAGAAATCTGAATGGGCTCATAGAAATAGGCTTTAGGGTAAGGCTTGCCTTACATACACAGTGTAAAAGCCAATAATCAAAAATATATAATTTGATTTGAGAGACTACAATCATGCAAAATAAGAGTTATGTCCCTATAAGTATCTCCGCTGACTTGGCAGATGCCAGAGGTGAAGCCATGGTTACTATCCTCTTTTAAACTTCCAGGAACTCTGGAGGGGTAAAACGTCAAGCTGGTGCAGTCATTTACATCAGTGTGGATTCCCTTATTAGAATACTCTCCTTGGGGGATGCTAACTGCAATAAAAAGAATAAGAATTTGATGAAGAAAGGGAAAAGAAAAAATGAGCATTTGATGGAGAAAGGGAAGAGGGAAGACCTCATTTTTGGTCAGGAGTGAGATGAAGTCAAGGAAATTCAACAATTTATCCATTTTGCCAACTTACCAAATTTGTCCTGGTTTGAAGAAAATGAGATAATCATTCCCTTCTCTATTTAACTAAGTAAACTCAAATGCTTCCAGTAGTCGTGCAGGTAACATCTATTACACGGAATCAACTCTGTGTAAAGCATTAGAAGGCAGCAAGTTCTATGGTAAACGAGGGAGCACAAACCTCATCACAAGAATTGCAAATTTTTAAAAAATCATAAAACAATTTGGCTGGTCAATTAAGACCTATACAGAGCTGCTCCTTTTGACCCTTAAGGTAGCCAAATCTGAGTGACATTTTATGCAAGACTAATGTTATTCAGGAATTAAAGTAAAACACCGGCTGGATACAGTGGCTCATGCCTGTAATCCCAGAACTTTGGGAGGCCAAGGTGGGTAGATCACCCGAGGTCAGGAGTTCGAGACTAGCCTAGCCAACATGCTGAAACCCTGTCTCTACTGAAAATACAGAAATTAGCTGGGCATGGTGGTGCACACCTGTAGTCCCAGCTACTCGGAAGGCTGAGGCACAAGAATTGTTTGAACCAGGAGGCAGAGGTTGCAGCGAGCTGAGATCACACCACTGCACTCCAGCCTGGGTGACGGAGCAAGACTCAGTCTCAAAAAAACAAAAAAAGTAAAACACAATTTAACACCTAGTGAATGCTTATTAAATTGAGATGATCTAAGAATATCGCAACTCAGGAGCAATCACTAGTCCAGTTCTCTCTAATTTTTCTACATTTTTGATGATGGGGATTATGGTGACAAGTATGGTGACTTGAAGGAGTCTCCCATTATGCAGAATGAATTAGCAATATCTTAGGGAGACAAAGTGCCAGCTTAGACATTGGCAAACTCAGAACCAGAAAGCCAAGTGTTCATCAATAGCATTCACATAAACACCACTTCCAATTCTCGTTTTCATATCTTCAAAAAGAATACAGCACTTCCAGATGTCCAGTGCCTACCTCCGAGCGGTATTACAAATATTAGTCATGTTAATGCCTCACAGGTACTTTGAAGATGAAAAGGACTAGTTAGTATCAAGCCATGAAGTGGCAGCCAAGACTTCCATAACAAATAGAGCAAAACAGAAAGGAGGCACCGCTGAGAAACTTGGAAGCAATACAGCCACGTATTTGTTTCTGCGCAAACTTTTTAATAATGAAAGCTCGTGAACTCCTCTTTAGATGAAAAGAGGCTCAACTGTGTCTTTAATTAGATCATCCTATTGGAGCACAATATAGTGATAAAGAAGATTTAATAAAGCATTTTGTCTTTTTATTACTTTGATTTGGTGCAACATATCTGCTCATCCAAGCAAGATGTTTAACTTCAAAAGCGGTTCTGTCCACCCTCCCCCTGAACAATAAATAACTCCAAGGCGGAAAAAGAAAACAATATATTTGAAGCATCCCTAAGCTGCTGAGTGATGAAAAGATTCATCATTTTTTTTCTACTGTGGACACCAGTTTTTAATTAGTCCTTTACTTTTCTCTTGTAGCTGGTAGGATTGTAAGAGTTTAAATGTTGCTAGTTATTGATTAAAACATATAGTAAAGTAATTTGGGGGAAAAAAATCGAATTACTCCACACCGTGGTAAGACTTTCCTATTTGACATGATCCTGGATAGGCCCATTAGACTGGGAATTTTGGAAATAAACAAAATTAGGCCATAAAACTGTTGGCACAGAATTCTCCACATCATGACAAACTTACTCTAAACATCTTTTTTGTATGTAGGTCTGTAATTAGATTCAGTGCTTGAATTTAAGATTTTGGCCAAGCTAAGCCTGGAAACACAAATATAGAATGTTTAGGAGGTTAAGGAATTGATTTTTGGAATGTGTTTACTTTTTTAAGGCGTCTTAACAGTGATATTAGCATAGATGATTGTCTTAGCCAGAGAAAACTTCAGACAAACCCACCCAAATAATCTGGTAGACACTGAGTGAGTAGGCTAGATAAAGATGAGAGGGAAAAAATAGACAAACCAGAGGGAGGAAACTGAAAGATCATCAGCAAGGGCAGAGGGAGAACGAGCAATCCAGTCAATTCATTGTCTTAACTACATTAGACCTAAAGGCCAGACTTTTTTTGTCCTTAACAAAAATGTGGCTACGTTAGTGAATTCACAGACTCTTGTGGATGCTGGCTTAAATCCTCAAGTAAGCAAAGAGAGAGAAAAAAAAGGAAGAAGTCTCTCAGATGACCCTGCAGGCCACAATTGTTAAGTAACATAACAAAATTTCTAAGTGATTTCCTAGAACCTATTTTTTTCATGACACAAACAGATTTTTTAAAAAATAGTCATTCCCAACATTCCTTTTTCCCCAAGAAATCACTTGTTTCTATGTTTCTGCATTTGGGTTTCTTATGATTACTCTTATACCTTTGGAAACAAAGAGACCTCAATTCAAACTCCACCTTCATCATTATCAGAAGCTTCAGTGTTCCTATCATTAAAATTGGAAATAATAAAACTACACTTATATCCTCTAAGTTTGGCCTTGTACCAGCGTCTTAATTATCCTACTAGTTTTCTGCAATAATATGTATTCAAGATTGCTCTGATAAACTGCACATATCCAGGTTAAATTGCTTTTTTATTATTCATAAATTTTACAAATTCAATTATCCGTTTATTTGGGGAGTTTTAACTGGTTATTTGGAAATATATAGACACATCTTTAAATTGCAGATCTATACAGAATAAAATAAATATATCACATTGAAGAACGTGGCCTGAATATTCCTGTTTCTTGCAAGTAGGAGGGGATGAGGTCTAGAAGGGAACCTATACACTGACATTAGACAGCTCCTAGGAGTCAAGCCTCTACTAGACTAATGGGAAGGGGTCCTGCTGGCAGGCAGAGTGTGACATCCAGCAGTAAGCTGTATGCACAGCCTTGCCTACTGGTGCCCTGGAGAGAGCAATGCCAGACCCCCATGCGAGGAGGGCACCAAGATTCAAGGCAAGTTACCAGAAGAGAGGCTTGGAACATGGGTTCTTTGTCAAGGTCTTTATTGTTGCATGCAGCAGAAACCAACTCAGTCCAGTTTAAGCAAACAGGAGAACTTTTTGGAAGGAAGTGAGATGTATAGCAGAAGCCAGAGATCTTTCCAGATCTTGAAAATCCATCAAGAACCCAAGCAGTTTCTCTCAATCTCTCTCTCCCTCTCTTCTCTTCACTCTCCTCACCCCCAGCCCATCACCTTTTTTTTTTTTTTTTTTTTTTTTTTTT